CATTCATTCGTCTTTGCGATGTTTTGTTTCATATTTATTTTTATTATTCGTTTTTTTATAAATATAATACATCATTATTATGTATTATTATATTAGTTTAGTTTAACTATTAATTTTTTATTCTTTCATTAAAAAATTATTATTAAATATGTAATCTATATTTTTAAAATAATTTATAATTTATAATTATTATAAATAAATTAATAAAAAAATAAAAAATGGCACTAACCGGGAGTTGAACCCAGGGAGTTTGGAAGAATAAACTGTGGCTTCTTAGGCCTTTAGTGCTTTCTGAATTTTTATGAATTCTATCTTTTTTGACTCTTCAAGTTATTAAATTACTATAAATAAATTAATAAATATTAATTAATAATTAATTATTTTGAATTCAAATTTTTTAAATTTATCTTAATTATTATAAATTTAAATATTTATAATATTTTATTTTTTTAAATATTAAATTTTATTTTTTAAATAATACATTAATAAATTATAATATAATAAATAATATAAAAGTGAATGAGTGATTCAGAACAATAATCTTAGCATTAAAGCACATAAAAATGAAGAAATGTAAGAGAAACAAGACCGTGCCCAAGAAGAAAATGAAGAACTGTCATTGCTTGGCTGTGAGGCCAAGCAACACAATTTGTCATCAAAGAGATCTAACACCTTTTTAGAAGTGTATATCAACTCTCTCTTACTCTTTCCAAGAAATGTTGAATTCTGCGTCCATACAATACAATCATTCAGTGAATCGAGTGAAGTGACAGTGTCACCTAATGTGTAGTTATACACTGACACAACTTTTCCTTTGGCTCTCAACGTGTTTGGCGTGATGACGTCAGCAAAGAAGGCACACAAATGCGGGATTTGAGAGAACCCTCTTTTTGCTTTTTTAAACTCGTTGAAACTCGATGTGTCATATCCTATTTTCGTTAAATATGAAAGTATTAAATTACTTTCGATAATCTCTTCGTTGTCCACAACAACCGGGAAGTTCGTGACAAACGAAAGTAACTCCGCGCGTAGTAACAAATTTGGGTTTGCGTCTCCACTGTCCAAAATTTGAAGAAGAGAAGTGACATCCCCCGACCACTGCGAGTTGAGTGTAATAACCTTTTCGACGTTGTTTTTAATCCAAAAATCACCCTTTTCTCGCATCGACTTTTCAAGCAAAATTCCGCCAAACCCAAATGCGGCGTATATCACTCTAGCGCCGTAACTCATCAACTTGGGAGACTCGTGTCTCCAATCGTACGAGACGATGAATAAGTTGCTTCCTAGTGTGTAGCCCATTCCCTCCAACTTTGATATTAATGACTCAAATTGGCTCTTTTCCGATGCAGAAGTGACTTGAACACCCTTTTTGTTTTGCCACTGTTGTGAAGTTGTGTTGAATGTCATTGCAAGTCGCAATTTTTGGCACTCAGAACTCACAACACCCTTTTTGTATATAACTTCTTTTAAATTATCAGTGCAACCTTCCATTACATTTGGGTCGTAATGAGCTGTCAGTGTGTCGTCTCCGTAGTCTGGAATTATGACAATTGGAATTAAATAATTACATGACGACTGACAGAAACCAAAGAAAAGCAGTATTGTCAACATATTAATATTTCTTAGTTCTTTTTGATATTATTTGTTTCAAACATTTTATATTTTAAAGTAATAAAAGTCGATTAATTATTTTTATTAGTAATAAGACTAATTCTATTATAATACAATTATAGTAATATTAAAAAACTAACTTTAAAAACTATTTTGGATAGTTTACAATACATAAAACCGCCGTTAAGTGCCGGGCACAATAAAAAAAAACAAAAAAGGTATTCTAAGTTTTATTACAGACCGGCAAACTATAAAAATAGTTTCTGAAAACTATTTAATAGTTTTTTCAATAAAAATTTTGAAAAAAAAGACAAAAAACAAAAAAACTATAATATATTATAAATTATTCTATGCCGGTCGGTTTTTCTGTGCCGGTATGTTTTTCTAAAATCTGTAATTTTGATTTAATAACATTATTTTTCAACGACATATATTGTCTACTGTACAGTTCTGTTTAAATAGAATAACTACATTAATAAAAAATACAACACGATACTAGTGCCACATGTAATAACAACAAACTGACAAATGAGCTCAATGTTGATGTCTTAAAGCATGTTCTTGCTTAATTTAAAACGTTCAGCCTTTTGCTTTTGTGATTGATGAAGGGAAGTTTATTGTTGTAGAATAAATAACGTAGTTATTCGTTTGACAGGTTTTGGTTGTAAATTTGCATGTTTAAAGTTGACAATAGAGTGGTTGAGTATTGTCAACATTCAACCAATGAAGTGTGCCGTCATTAATTGACTTGTTTTGGAAATGTTATCATTGATTGCAAGAAAAAGAATTTACTTTTTTACTGGAATCGACTATCCTCTCTTTGTCCTATTATCAAGTTTATACACATTTGCTGCTGTAGTAATGATTCTTAGCAAATTTATACTTTCAATATAAAATTTATTTTTAGTTGCGTGTAATTACTAGTTGTTATTTTCTTTTTAATGTATTTTTTGTTTTTGCCAGCATCCAATTTACTTTCTTGTTGCAGTTTGTAAAATGTTTTTGCATCTCTTAAATATCGTTGCTATTGACCGTCGTATCATATTTTCTTTTGTGATTTGGTCACCAAACAGTCCCACAATTCGTCTGTTACTTTCTCTGAGAACAACCGATGGTAGTTATTGCCTTAATCATTTAAAAAGTTTTTTACTGTACAGTAATTGGTCAATTGGAAATAACACCAATAAAATTATAATAAAGTCAATTTTACTATTATAAAACTATACCACTAATCTATAAATACTAACGATTTAATATTCAATCTAATATATTTTATAGTAACAGTAATAATTCTGTATGTTATAAATTAATTATAATCCATTATTCAATTAGTTATACTATAAAGGTTAATAAACTATATTTAATAGTTTAATTATTTTAAAAATGTTACAAATTAAATTACCTTGTCAAGGTGTTTAAATTCTTATAATAATTGTTGAAGAATCCATCAAATTTCATGAAATCCATTTCCCAACCAACGAGTAATTTCAAAAGAAAATTTCAATCAAAAAATAACAAATCTTTATATTTACAAATTAGCCCAAAAACCAGT